TTATATAATCGTTGTATTAATTCTCCTGTTTAAAAATATGAATTCAAAACAAGCGTTTAACATATACAAAATCTTTGTATTTATTTATAAATTTGTTATTGCAAATCGTTATATTAAATCTACTTTATCCGTTGTTCTTTCAAATTTCTTTCTAATTACAGTCTCATATTTTTATTTCATATATTTATTTGAAAAAATCATTTTATAACAACTTTTTTTGGTTTCTTTACGTGAAGAATTCAATTCATTTTCAACGAAACTCGACTGTAGTAAACCTGACGTCCATTCTGTTTTGGTTCTAGTGGTACATTTTTACTGTTACTAAAAATGTTTTTATATATTTAAAAAGAAATTTTCGCTACTTTTTAAATTAAATCGTAGTTAAAATCTATAATATTTCTAAAAGAGAGCTACATAACAAAAGCTAAAAAACGTTTTCTTTCAAGTTTTAAAGCGTATACTAACAAATAAAAAGTGTTATGTCCAATAAAATCTAGCATACATCCTTTATTTTACAACAACTGCAGTCCAAAAAAAGGGAAAAAATCATTTTATTACTGCTTTTTTTAACTACTTTACGTAAGGAATTCAACTCTTTTTCAACGAAACTCGATTGTAGTACACCTGACGTCCATTCTGTTTTGTTTCTAGTGGCACATTTTTACTGTTACTAAAAATGTTTAACTATATTTAAAAAGAAATTTTCGCTACATTGTGAATTAAGTCGGAGGTTAGAACTATAAAGTTTCTATAGAAGGGCAATTTATCAGGAGCTATGAAACGTTTTCTTTTAAGTTTTAAAGCGTAAACTAACAAATAGAAAGTGTGAAGTCGAATAAAATCTAGCAAATAACATTTATGTTATAACAACTGCAGTCCTAAAAATGAAGAAAAATCATTTTATTACAACTTTTTTTTGGTTGCTTTACGTGTAGAACTCAATTATTTTTGGACGAAATTCAATTGTAGTTATCCTAACATCCATTCTGTTTAGTTTCTAATAGTAAATTTTTACCTTCGCTAAAAATTTCTTTTATACGTAAAAAAGAAATTTTAGCAACTTTCTGTATTTAATCGTAGGTAAAAACTTCAAAATTTCTAAGAAAGTGCTATTTACCAGAAGCTATGAAACGTTTTTTTTCCATCTTTAAAGCGTATACTTACCAATAAAAAGTGTTAAGTTTAAAAAGTTTTAGCTAACATCATTTATATTTCGAACACATTAGTCAAAAAAAGAGACAAAAATCATATTATTAGGAATTTTTATGATTACTTTACGTGTAGAATTCAATTCTTTTTCGACGAAACTCGATTGTAGTCAACCTGACATCTATTCTATTCAGTTTCTAGTAGCACATTTTTACCGTCGATAAAATTTTTTAATATAGTTAAGAGAAATTTTCGCTTTTTTATGAATTTAATCGTTGTTATATACTATAAAATTTCTAAAAGAAGTGCTTCTTAAATGCAGCTATGAAACGTTTTCTTTCAAGCTTTAAAGCGTATACTTACAAATAAGAAGTGGAAAGTAAGATAAAATCTAGCTAATCTTATTTATATTTTAACAACTGCCGTCCAAAAAAAGAGATAAAATCATTTTATTACTACTTTTTTTGGTTACATCACGTGTAGAATTCAATTCTCTTTCGACGAAACTCGACTGAAGTCAACTTCACATCCATTCTGACTTGTTTCTAATAGCACATTTTACCGTCGCTAAAAATTTTTCAATATATTTAAAAAAAATTTTTGCTGCTTTCTAGATTATATAATAATTTAAAACTATCAGATATCGAAAGAATTACTATATAAGAAAAGCTATAAAAAGTTTTCTTTCAAGCTTTAAAGCGTATACTTACAAATAAAAAGTGTTATGTCCAACAAAATCTAGCAAATTTCAATTATATTTCAACAACTGCAGTCTATAAAAAAAGAGAAAATCATTTTATTACAACTTTTTTTTAGTTACCTTACGTAGAGAATCTAATTCATTTTCAACGAATCTCGATTGAACTCAACCTGACATTGATTCTGATTTTTTTCTAGTACCATATTTTTACCGTCGCTAAAAATTTTCCAATATATTTTAAAAGAAATTTTTTCTACTTTTTTGATTAAATTGTAGTTACAAACCATAAAAGTTTCTAAAAAAGTGTTATACAACAAAAGGAATAAAACGTATTCTTTCAAGTTTTAAAGCGAATGCTAACAAATAAAAAGTGTTATGACTAGTATAACCTAGCATATATCATTAATATTTCGACTACTGCTGTCAAAAATAAGAGAAAAAATCATTTTATTACAACTTTTCTGGTTACTTTACGTGAAGAATTCAATTCTTTTTTAACGAAACTTGATTGTAGTAAACCTGACATCCATTCAGTTTTGTTTATAGTAGCACATTTTTACCGTCGCTAAAAATTTTTCAATATATTTAAAAAAAACTTTTGCTGCTTTCTTGATAAAATCGTAGTTAAAAACTATAAAGTTTTTATATAAGTGCTATTTAACAGGTGTTGCGTATCCTACGCAACGTGTGAGTAGGACGAAGCTTTTGGGTGTGTACGGCCCTGCAAAGGCGTGAGACATGTGCGACAAAGCAGTATCGTTGTTTTGTGGGGTAACTACGGTAACGCTATAATGCTTGCAAGGGGTCTTTCTTCTAGCTCGCGTTCTCCCACTACATTTATTACGCTAATCACATGTATCGACAGCCGCGTTATGCTCGGGCTTTTCGGTGATTGGTGCAGCATTGCATCGCTTTTTTGTATAAAGCCCAGCGCGTTCTTGCGCCTATCGTCACTCTTGATTCATCACGCGTGATTCATCGCTCGAGATTCATCTAGCTTAGAAAGCTGAGACTTGCGAGAACTACTTTGAGGAGAATTATTTGTATTGCGCAATACTACATCATTTAAGTTCGGCCAGTGACAAGGGACAAAGGCGGTCCTGCACGTAGCCAGAATTATCCTGATTTGTACGGATTCTTCGTCAACGTTTCAACCAGGGTTTTTATGCCGGAAGGCTTTTTCCTGACGAGCTAAATAAAGCGTACTTTTTAGTACTGACTGGGCTTAAATACATTTGGTATTGTGTTTTATTTTCCTATCCTCCTTCCTATTAATAAACAATCTCCATATCACCCGTGAAGACATTTTTCGATTCACTACAATCCACTGGAGTACGGATTAAGGCATCGTTCGCATCAACATTTTGGTCCCTCGAGCCGGATAGGGAGCTTCCACCTCACTCTTCGTCCGGCGTCTATTGTGCATACAGTCTTCTTCAACGGAATAGAAAGAGGCAACGGAAGACTTCCGATCGAGCAACAAAGGAGGTATTGCGTCATCGCTACAAGCTGAGAAGCTTCTATTTTTCCGGTGCGTGAGTACGCTGCACGGGACACTTTATTCAAAGAATTCACGTGAGTTTTGTAATTTTTGTTGCTTGATCATTCTTTGAAATCGTATTTTTCCTTCTTTTTTCTCTTCTTAATTTCGCCTTTTTTCGTGAAAATGCGTCGTTCGAGTAGTGCACGTGGTGATGTCGAGCGCGTTGTACGGAGCTTCGAGTTTATGAAGAAAGGATTCGCACAGTTTCAAAGAGCATTAAGCGAAATAGATCGTACTAGCCCGAGCGATATAATGAAATTAAAGATTGGAAGTTCCAAAATCGATAAGGATTTGGCAATATTAGAGGAGATGGTAAAAAAAACTTCCGGGGAAGAGATGGAAACGCTGGTAGACGAAGTTCATAATCATATCGAGGCAGTAATCGATGCAATAGCGGAAGCGGAATTAATTATTAATAGAATTTATTCGGTAGCCACCAAAGATACAGATTCGCCTACCGTGAGTCAGCTGTCTCCGGTTAGAACTACGGTTAGCAGTCTGTCCGTATAGTCCAGTCAATACCAGGAAAACTGCCGACTTTTTGGGCACCCGGCCAAAACCTTGATATAATGGTAATTCGACGACGCTGAATCGAATGGTGCTAATTTTTTTGCAATTGGATCAGGAGGTCTTGGAAAAAAGGGGTAAAAAAGGGTAAAAAACGGCCGTATCTTAGTATTTAGGTATTAAATCGAAAAAAGTTTCAAAAAAAGTTGTAGAGAATTGAAAAATACATAAAAAATGCTCTAAAGTGTATCTTCGTATTTGCAAAAATAAGCGAGAAAATGGCGTAATAAATGTAGTGGGAGAACGCGAGCTAGAAGAAAAAAGGAGCCCTTACAAACATCTTGGCGCTACCGTGGTTACAACCAAAAACAAAGATACTGCTTTGTCGCGCGTGTCTCACGCCTTGGCAGTTCCGTACACACCCCGGCGCTTCGCTCTACTCATTCGTTGCGTAGGATACGCAACAAAATGAAAGTACTTAACATAATTAATCTCTTTCTTTATGAATAAAAGTACTTAACTTATAAAATCTCTTTTCATTAAAATGAAAATACTCAACTCATCAAATTTCTTTCTATTAAAATAAAATTACTTTACTCATCAAATATCTCACTATTTAAATGAAAGTACTTAACGTAATAAATCTCTTACTATTTAAATGAAAGTAATTACCTCAACTAATCTATTTTTATTTGTAGGAAAAGACTCTACTTATCAAATCTCTTTTTACTTAAATAAAGGTACTCAACTCATCAAATCTCTCTCTATTTGAATAAAAGAACCTTACTCATAAATTCTCTTTTAATTGAAATGAAAGTACTGAACACATCAAATATCTTTCTCTTTGAATAAAAGTACTTTACACATCAAATCTTTTTTTATATGAATGAAAGTATATCACTCTCTAAATCTCTTTCTATTTGAATGTGGGTACACAACTCATAGAATCTCTTTCTATTCGAATAAAAGTGTAAGACTCATTAAATCTCTATATTTTAGAATGGAAGTACTGAAATTATCAAATTTCTTTTAATTTGAATAAAAGTACTAGACTTAAGAAATCTTTGTCCATTTAAATGAAAGTGAATAACTGTACAAATTTCTTTCTACTTAAATGTAAGTTCTTAACTTATCAAATCTCTTTCTATTCGAATAATTGTAGTCAACCTGTAAAATCTTTTTCCATTCTAATAAAAGTACTAAACTCATCGAATCTTTTTTTATTAGAATAAAAGTACTCAACTTATCAAATCACATTCTATTTGAATAAAAGTACTTAACTTATCAAATCTCTTTTAATATGAATTAAGCTACTTAATTCATCATATCGCTATCTGGTTAAATAAAAGTTTTTAACTTAATAAAACTCGTTGTATTTGAATTAATGTACTAAATTAATAAAATCTATTTCTATTTAAATAAAAGTACTTAACTCATCAAATCTCTTTCTATTTGTATGAAAGAACTTAACTCATTAAATATTTTTCGTTTTAAATAAAAGTACTGTACTTATTATATTTTTTCTCACTTGAATAAAAGTACTTAACTCATCTGTTCGACGATATTTACGGTGTTTTAATGATTTATATTGCCCGCGGAATAGGATAGGCAGCGTAGGCGCTAATAAGGTTGTGAGGGCGTGCAAGCGCGCCTTATCATGCAAGAGGCATAGGAGAGCGCCCAAAGGTGTGTGAAGGGGATACAATGCGTGGGGCCTTTAGCACGCACTATATTCTCATTCTGGCATTCATTCTGGTTTGAGCATAAAGCAGTGTGGTTCCAATTTAAGCATTTTCGCAATCTTGTTCTTGTTCTAAGCAACGTAGCTAGTGCGTGAGCTAGTGAGTAAGGAGTGTGTAAAGTTGGCTGGTGTCGTGCTATCAGAGAGGGATTGTCTGGTGTCTCGCTACCAACAACAACGTAGTCGGACAGTTGTAGTGGAAGGCCTGCAATCTGTCGCCGTACTACCAACGTGAGAGATTGTAGCTGGTGCCTTGCTACCAGAGAGACGTTGTCTGGTGTCGTCCCCCAACAACAACGTAGTCGGACAGTTGTGGTAAAAGACCTGCCACCTGTTGCCGGACTACCAACGTGGGATGAGGTTGTGGCCAGACAGGCCATCGTTAGGTGCTTGTATCGCTTTGTGTGACAAGAGATAGCGTGCGTTCGGTTATCGCCTTGCGGCGAAAGCGTCAGGTAAGAGAGCTCTCTAGCGTGCGACCAAAAGGTACCTCGCGCCATTATTTCAATAACTTATTTTCTTTCAGCCTTTTTTTTGTCATTGTACATAATACAATTTTCATTAAATAAATTGTTCTCGTGCCCTGGCTTTTCTCTCAACTCCGTGAGAGTTTTTATTCCGAGGCAAGCAGCTTTGTGTCGCGTAAAACTGTCGTATTCATTTATCTATCCTGTCCTATCTCCATCATTCCGGCGTTAAATCTTTTTTGTTGAACTCATTGGATGATATTCGCCCATTTTCTGGTCACACATATAAATGCTAAAAACATCATCAAATTTTTTTCTATTCTAATAAAAGTACTTAATTTATAAAATCTTTTTCCATTTAAATAAAAGTACAAAACTTATAAAATTTCTTTCCATTTGAATAAAATTACTCAACTCATCAAATCTCTCACTATTTAAATTAAAGTACTTAACGTAATTATTCTCTTTTTATTTAAATAAAAGTACTTAACTTAACAAATCTTTTTTTATTTAATTGAAAGTAATCAACTCATCAAATCGCTTCCTTATTAAAAAAAGTACTCAAATTATAAAATCTCTTTCTAATCGAATAGAAGTTCTCAACTTATTAAATTTCTTTGTATTTGAATGAAAGTACTGAACAAATAAAATCTCTTTCCGTTTGACTTTAAATACCTAATCAAATAAAACTTTTTCTATTAGATTAAGAGTACTTAATTCATTGAATATCTTTCCATTTTAATAAATGTACTCTAATCATCAAATCCCTTTCTATTTGAATGCAAGTACTCACTCATCAAATATCTGTCAATTAAAACGAAAGTACTCAACTCATTAAATCTCTTTCTATTTAAAAGTAAGTACTTCACTTATCAAATCTCTTTCTATTTGTATGAAAGTACTCGACTCTTTAAATCTTCTACTAATTAAATGAAAGTACTCTACTCATAAAATTTCTTTTTATTTAAATAAAAGTATTAAAATCATTAAATCTCTTTGTATTTAAATTAAAGTACCTAACTCACTAAATCTCTTTTTACTGGGATACAAGTACTCTACAAATCAAATCTCTTTATACTGGAATAAAAGTAACCAACTCATCAAATCTCTTTCTAATTCAATGAAAATACTCAACTTTTAAAATCTCTTTCTGTTTGTATAAAAGAACTAATATTATCAAATTTCTTTCTACTTGGATATAAGTACTCAACTTATCAAATCTCTTTCTACTTGAATAAAAGTAATCAATTCATTAAATCTCTTTTT